ATCTATTTTATATCTAAATTCTGAAATAATTTCGATTACGAATTGTATACGAATTCTTACCTTAAAAATCAGAAGTTTCCGTGAAAGTTAGATGAATTTGGAATGAACAAACAGATGCTTCCAGATCCTGTTCAGAACAGAAAATGACGTGTGTACACTATTTTGTACCAGCAGGAATAATAATAATAGCTAGTCTAGAAATTCAGGCAGCGCAGTGCTAGTGCAGTGCAGAACATGCCCACATAACTATTAAAGGTACTAGATCTAGGCCTATGTCCCATTTGCAGGCCAAAAAAATGAAAAAGTTAAATTCCAACTGCATTTGAAAGATAATACTAATTTAGAACTTCCCTAAAAAAGGTGGGGCTTGAAAACGTCTTCAAGTGGGAAAATAACGACTATTAATAATAATAATAATAATAATAATAATAATAGCCTAGATCTAATAGTCCACTCCAAATTTTATTAAACCGAAACGGAAATTCTTTTTGCCCAATTGATCGTGAGCCCGGCAGCCACTGAGCAGCGCCAGATCGACGTTGCTCTATCCCCTTGTTGTTGAACGCCAAACAAGGTAGCAACAACTCCCATCTTTTAACGTCTTTTGGTATGACGCGGCTATAGAGCCCAAAAGTAATAGTCTTGATTTTCAGACAATTGTACCGAATGGTCATACGTTTTATGCTGCGCAAAGATTCAATCAGTTTAATCTTGGCCATCACAAGAAGTGGGTTATTGATGTGGACAAATGTTTCCCCCCATGATTGTTCGTTCGTGTCTCCTTAGATCAAGATTAATGTAAAGTTCCTTAATTAAATTAAATTAAATTAAGTTCTTCCAACGCCCGATGTAGAGGAAATGGTCTAGAGAACTTAAACAAGAATTAATAAAAACTTAAGAGGAGTCAGAAAAGTAAAATTATGTTAATTTTCAGATCACTACATAATGATATGAGAATCTCTCTCTCTCTCTCTCTCTCTCTCTCTCTCTCTCTCTCTTTTCCAATGATGGATGGAATGTCATGTGTGATGTACATGTACTCCCATTTGTTGTGTAGGCCATCAAATTACCTAGAATTATTTGAAATATACCCCTTTTCAGCATCAGAATATATTTTATGATATATAACATCATCCTTTTTTTTCTTTCTATTCTTCTCCAATAATGATGATTGTAATGATGATGATAATGATGATGATGATAATAATGATAATAATAGTAAAAAAATGTAGTAATGATAATAATTATATTAATCACAAATTACATTTAGCACTAAATATGTTTCTGAGCGCATAATTTCAAGAAGGAATAGACAAGACGGATAGAGACAGAGAGAAGAGCTAGAGTTGGAAATCGAGTAAGAAAGAGAGAACATTTCAGAATGAGAATATTAAATTAACATATACACACACACAAAAGACTGATGAAAAAAAAAGATTCTCTGACAATAATCAGTTTATTTGTCGATCATCTTATTCTTTAAGCTGATGCAATAATTTGCATCTGACATTTAGTTGTTGACATTCAACATTCCATATTTCCCAATTGCTTTTCAAATTGCAGCATTGGTACAGGACTATAAGATAACTGTGCCAAATTCTAAGATGATAGCCAGTCTATTAAGTAAAGTTCAACTCACTGCACCTCATACTTTTGAAGTTAAAACAAACACTTTGCACCCAATATAGTTTACTTTGCCAGAATTCTACTTTTTCTATCTCAATTCAATTTTCTAAAATACAGTCAGTGAAAATAGCCCATGAAATTTTTCTCACATTATCAAGGAGGCACAATGGCTCAGTGGTAGAGCAGCGCAGTCTTTTAACTGGGAGGTCCCAGGTTCAAAACCAAATTGATGCGCTGGTACCCTTTGGTAAGGCATTTTGTCTTCTTAGCAAAGTCGCTCGGAGAGAAATTTTAATTGGTCAGTCCTCTGGATTAAAGTAAACAAGCATATGCATGCTTTCTTTAATAGCAGTAAGGTAAGATAAAATCATCAAACCAATCCAAACCATATTGAAAGTCTATAATGATGTCAAGCCAGAAAGATGCACACATTTAACAAATCCATCACCTTGACTATAAAATAAAAGGTATATATACTGTAATTTAGTAAATTTTCTGGAAAAAAAGAAACATATTAAAATGAAAAAATTGCACTATCATACAGTCTCATTAAAAACAAACATTATAGCTTTTAGCACTTTTGAGTGCTGCATTTTCAGCTGGATGAGATATTTAAAAGACAACAAAACTAATATGGGCAAGGTTCAGCTTTTACATACATAAAAGTTACACCGTATCTGCTGGGCCTTCGTTATGGAATACTCTCCCTCAATGGGTTAAGAATAGCAGTTCTGCTGAGGTGTTAAAAAACAATCTTAAGAAATATCTGTTTAATTTAGCTTATAATTGATTACCATCACCTTTCATGTCTGTACCTTTCCTATCGCACTTTGTATAAATGTATCATGTATGTATTTCATCTTTTGCACAAGCTGCGCCTTGAGCATTTGACTGTCAAGTGGATTTGGCGCCTTATAAATCATATGTATTATTATTATTAATGCAAGACTTGGTTGATTGATTGATTTGTTTCACCAACAGCAATACAGTTATACATTTCATACAATGTGTTTACATATACAAGAAGAGAAACTATTGGTTGGTAAAAGGGGCCAGATAATAGCACATGTGCTAGTTGAGCCTAACCCCTTAAACAGCTAAACAAAGTATTGTGGTACAAATCAGTTTAGAAAACATAGCAAAACAAAAATAATGAATTTACCATTACAATCGATTCTTTGAAAAATAAGAATACTAAACAATGTCTTACAATATACAAACTAATAATGTAAAATATAATTTGTGTACATATGCAGATAATTGAACTTGACATATCATTCAGACTTCTCGCAGAATTTCCAATATCAAACAAATTTATAATTTAAATATTTGAAGCTACTGACATCTGTGTGGAAAGCAAGATGGGCTACGTGCATTCATTTTGAGATTAGAGTTGCACCCACAAGACTTTCTAAACAGGATTGTCTAAAGAATGTACTTTTTGTGACCTGTGCAGCATGCATGGTTCACGATCATGTACATGTAAATCACAGACCAGATACATGCTACGTGTAGAGGTGTTATGGGCTAGTGGTTAAGTCTCCACACTGTGTACCACAAGGTACAAGGTTTGAACCTCTGCACCAAACCCCTGAACCATCACTAACTTTGTCAAAAAATTAATCAACACTTGCCATACTATACCCAGGTATAATAGTAAGTGGGTATTATGCATTAGGATTTCTTCCTTGAATGCACTGAGCGCTACAGTTGTCGGAGCTAAAGCCGGGGTAATAATGTCCAAAGTCCTCTGGAAGTGCAAAGAGACGTTATTATCATTATTATAATTACTATCAGATATACTGCAACAACAACACATGCAGTATCAAGTTTAACAAGGACCAAGGCATACGCAATGTAAGAAAGCCTGTTGTATACATAATCAAAACTATTTGGAATTTTGCAAATAGTGATATAACATTTACTACATTTACAAGAGTACAAATAATTCATACATGTATGCATATTTCTATTGTTTGAGTTCATTTGAATGAAGTTGGTTATAAAGAATTAAACAAATTAAATATAATTATAAAAATCGTGAAAATACAAACTTCACTTACAAACCAGATATTCATGATTCACAATAGATACCTACCGCATACATGCCAACATTTGAAAATCAGAAATCTGTACAAATTATGCTATTTTCAAAAAAAAGAGGAACAATCCTAACTCTCCTATTCAATACTACAGACAAATTTGTACAGGAAGAGGAACACCTGCATTAAAATGATAATTATCTTCTCCCAAAAAGAGGAATGTTCCTCTTTAATCTGAACAGTTGGCATGTATGCTACCGGTACATCACTGTATATGGAATAAAACAGAGGATATTGATTTTATCTGTTTTTCTTTTTCAGTGAATGATACTAATTACATCATAAGTTCTACAAAAATTTAACAATGTAATCTTATACACAACCTGAATTTCATTGCTGAAAAATTATGAGAAATAGTGGACAAGAGGTCACATACGATTTGCAAAATCATCTTGTTCTATAAAGTATGCTTCCATGTACATTTAGATTTCTTTAACTAGATAATTTCATCTCTTTATATAAATATATATGTATTGACCGTTTCACAATGAATAATAATGTGTTGTTGAAAAAAAATCACATTTAATATGACACTTGGAATATAAAATATACTATTTGCACTTATCATTTTCTTACATTTCTCTTTACATTTAAAATGCAATCACAGATTAGCATTTGATACTTAAAAATCACAACTAGTAGAATAAAATATGACATAAAGTACATACATTGTAATATAGAAATTCACAATATCAGTTCTACAATTTCACTTTTTTCCAATGACACCACTAAATAACTTCATTTTTTCCATTAATTTCCATATTATTCAGGATTAATAAAATTGAGATGTGGCAAGTTTTATCACTATGGCACATAGATTATTAAATACCTTATTAGCACTTTGCCTTTTTACATTCTTATCTCACATTGCTGATGCAATCACATGTTAAACTTTTCATTCTCAATCAAGACTGACATGAAATTCATTATGGCACATTATAAAAAATAATCAATTGGGCAGTTAGTCATTTGCAGCTATTTTCTTGGTCAGTGTATAACATTTGGCAGCAATTTAAAATATTTATCATTATTCAAATTATCTCTCCAAAAACTGAATACGGACTAATGCAATATATGTAAAGGTTGAATCAAAGTTCAAACCAACTTTTGTATGAATATCCATGATGGTCAAGTGTAACATAGCACATTCTAAATCTTTTGTTACATGCTTTAAAGGTCCACTGCACTACTTGTAGCTTAGCTTGCGCCCTCTATATAACAAACAATGCCTAATCAGTGACCATTGGTCCCCCGTGATCCTCTTTTTCTTATGTTAACTGAGAGCTGAATTGATGAGATAACCACCTGTCCAGTGACCTTGTAGGGCGGTCTAATCCCTCCTGTAAACTATGGCAGATAAGCTTTAACCAATACACATCTGTGCTGTCCTATATGGCATGCATATCGATGTGTGTTACTTTTCAGCGTTTCTGATGTTCAGCTAGATTTATTAATTTCATATAATGCTTGTTAAAGTACTCAATTGTATTTTCTATTTCATAATTACATTATAATCAACTTTAAAGAATAGCTTGCATATTTTTGTTCTTTCTCGAAAATGCAATTCTAACACAGCTTTACTCAATATCTCCTGGGAAACATGGCTGTATATATAAAGGAGCCGAATCATTTTCTTTTCTTTTCCGCCAAGGGCATGAACAACTTTTCCAGGTTTCCTAGAGGGAATTCGATGGCTACAGCCATCAGAATTGCGGCGACGTAGGCTAGCGTAACGATGGCTGTTACCTCGAAGGCCTGCAATTCAAAGATATGATATAACTATCACAATACCAGATTATAAATAACCCTATGCCTCATTTTTCTTTAAATTTGTAGAATGATTAATAATAGACACAGTCAACATCAATAAGCAAGTGGACAAGGGTGCAGTATAAACTAATTAGAAATAATGCATTTTAAATACAAAAACAATTCAAAGTGTACCAATCACCTGAAAAGAATATTTTTTTGTGCGTAGCTAGAATGTATCAAATCAACCTAAAAAACCTTTACTTGCCATTCTAAAGATTTAAAGGTTAATGAGTACCGGGTATGAAGAAAATAAAGCATTTAACACCCGTCTAGAGGGCTCACTCGGAATCAAAGTCGTAATTGGGTTCCTTACGCCCTATTTTCTATTTGTTCACTAAGAATATGCTTGAATTACAGTATCTCCTTGTAGAAGTGATGATGTTTGAACCTCATATTTTGAATACGGTATCGTCACATAGAAACCCTTACATCAAGAGCAAAATTAGTTTTGGTGATCGACCTTTCATTTTATTCCTACAATACTTTAAACTTCTGGACAATGAAATTTGGTAAAAGGGTGGAGCCTGATCCAATTTGCCAAATGCTTTTGTGCACGTGACCTATTCATCTATATCTTTTAATATGTCTATGATAAATAACTTACAGGTTGAAATATGCCTATGAAATATACTTCCAGTTAAAAAATTATGAAATAAATAAGTAATAGTAGTAGTAGAAATCATGGTATTAATAGAAGTAGTAGTAGTAGTAGTAGTAGCAGTAGTAGTAGTAGTAGTAGTAGTAGTAGTAGTAGCAGCAGCAATTATTAGTAGTAGCAGTAGTAGTAAAATAAGTAGTACTAGTAGTAAATGTAGAACTAATAGTAGTAGTAGTAGCAGCAGCAGTAGAAGTAGTAGCAGTAGCAGTAATTAGTAGTAGCAGTACAAGTAATAGAAGTAGTAGTAGAAGATGTAGTAGATAACTTGTTCAGCAAAAGGTAAGTCTGCCACAAGATATATGATTAGTGGTAGTTTGGAAACAAAAATTGGATGGTCAATATGAATGAAGTTAAAAGGAACAACCTTTTGAAAGTTATTATCACTAGAAACACAGGAATCGTGAATTGATAAAAAGTGATAAATGTGTAATGTTAGCTCATGTGACTTCAATGCCATAACCAATAATTGCATTCTGATCATTTATACACAGTAATGCTACTCACCAGCATATAGATCGAGTAGAAGTAGTTGTTCCCATGATTGAAATCGTAGACCATGATTATAATAGGATGTAGAAGATAGGCGGAATATGTCAGACGGCTCATTGGTATCCACAGCTCCCAACTCAGGAAGTCGTTGATCCAACCTATATTAAAGTACATGGAAGAAAGAAGAAAAAAAATAACATACGTTTTAGAAGGTATTACAGTTGTATATTCCACAAACTAAGAATCTTGTTCTACGATTGGTCAAAAGTAAATCATGTGACGAAAGATAGTTCGCCCATCATTGCTGGGAGAAGCAAAGAGATAGGCTACTATCTACACAGTGCAACGCACTTTCACTGAAGATAGAAGTCCTATCCTATTTACACAGTGCAACACACTTTAATTGTATACACTGCATATTGCTCTCCTCTTTAAGCACTTTTAGTGTTAGTGCGTGAACTTTGGCCAGGCGCGAACTACATGCATATGGTCACACCACCATGCATGCACTGTACGTATCATACACCGTTTACTAGCTGTTAATTGATGACTTGTTGCTCTAAAATGACGGAAGAAGTGAAGTGTTTCCGATGTGGAATATAAAGCCTCGGCGATCTGAGTGTATACGCTATCTTTCCGAAGCGAAGCTGAGGAAAGATAGCGTATACACTCAGATCGCCTCGAAAGTGATAGTTTGTCCCATCACCTTCATCAACGGTAGTTATTTGCTTATTATCTGCCATTCGATATAGCAGCGATTTCAATTAGGCGTTTTGAGCAGCACATTATTATTAACAAGCCCAAGCCAATATTTCTATATTTTTCGCATTTCTACTCCAACTCCCTCCCAACTTGAAAAGGAACCTTGCACAGCTAGATCAGCGTTTGTCACCTGGAAGCCCGACTGCTGAGAACACAGCATTCTTCCAGAATCTTGGGTAAAGATAAGGTAAAGTACCTCTGGGCTGTTCTGATATACCTTGTAACAAAAGGTATCCAAACCTGACTCAAAGGGATTTGTTCACAAAAACAACGTACTCTGGCGTGATAATTATTGCATTTAAAAATTACAGAAAACAACTGAATTATTCATACCCTTACAAATTTAGTAACCTTTTCAGTAGGCAAAAAATGTATTTGTCCTGATTCATGTTTCTTAAAAATGTGACCTATTAAAACTCACATCTAAAAGTATTCAAATGCCCTAATAATTTAACCGGTCTACCTTTCATTCTTGAATTACAAAAAAAAAATATCAAATTTACAAGGGGTAAGAACAATTTAGTTGTAAAAACTGTAAATTATGCATACCTCCATATCCATAATGACATGCAAAGACCACCCAAGAGAGAGAGACAGCCCAAGTGAATCGACACAGAGCCATGTAGGCAGCATTCTCTGCAGTACTCAAGGGATGACCGTGAAAAGAAGGATATAATCCATACACCAGTGACATGCCAACTGCGGTTGCAAAGACCCACCCTATCATAGCCACAATCTGAGATGAAAAATCATATGATACAATACAATATTTTACATTTAATCTAATTTGAAGTAATGTATAAATACATACTTGTAGAATTATTTATATTGTTTCCATGTTTCTTTCAAAATCATTATGTGTCGATGTTGTAAAACTAAATATCCATGCACTATGTGAATGAAGTTTTCATAATAAATACAAATACAGAATAAAGCCAATACAATACCATATACTGTAATACATGTACAACATTAGATAGTTCTTACTGATACAATGATGTGTTTGTACTCAGCTCGTCACATGATATCAATTGCGAGGATCATATATAGGATATTTCATTCCCGATAATTTGTCAATGGTTATATTGACCATAAGGTCAAATGAGTATATTTTTGCGTCATACAGTATCCAAGCAACGCTGTGCATGTTTGCATTCTCTAACTGCATGCATCGGACGCGAAAGGTGGGACTGCTGGAGACAAATTTGGCATGAGATCGGAACTACCCTAAATTTTATACAACAAACTGTTATTAAGGTTATCTAATATAACAAGTATTCAATGGAAGGGTGTGTAATAAATACATTTGTGGTGCCCTCTTCGCAATACATTTGTCCTGGTTTCTACATTGCACTTACTGGATGCATCTTGAAGGCCTTGTTCTTGTAGAGATGGAAGAAATATCCCATCGCCATACCAACCAGATACGGAGCGATGCGGCAGTAGGGCTTGACATAGATCTCTTCCATGAAAGAATGGTTTGGATCTTGATGGGGGTTTGTACCATCCCTAGCAGATAGGAAGAGTTAATATTATCGTAACAACATAACCAACGAGATAATTGGTACTACAAAATTGAGGTATAGCTACCAATACAGAGAGACTAGGTCTGGGATTTCAGGAATCTTTTTAACTTGGTATCCAGAGAAATTTTGGACGGGTACCCGAAAGTGATACAATTTAAAACATCTGAATATCTCATATGAAGTTATTTTCATCCATGCTTAGCGGTGTTTAGTGTTATATCATGCCTCTGAAAGTAAAAAACTGAGGAAAAATAGAAAGAGAACATGTGTTCTTCATTCATGCAGGATGAAAGAATCAGGCTAAAAAAACACTGAAAACACTTGGAAAATGATATTTAATTAGTTATCACTGATCAATATCAAGTTACAAGTCTTGAAATATGCTATTGAAATCCCTGTATCTGATAACTTGTCAGTAAGTTTTTTTGTAAAATTGTGGCAGTTTATATTTGTCATTACAAACAGGATCTAGATTCATTATAAAGCAATAAATCAGAGCTGGCAACCTTGTGCAACCAAAAAAAGGAACCATGATGGCAAAAAAAAGGAATATCAAGCAAAAAGAGGAATTCATTAAAACGAAACTTACAACCACGTGCGACAAACTTCCAATGCAGAAATGTCGATTCCTCATGCTGTTTTTTTTTTCATACAATTACGTACTACCGTAATTTGGAGGGAAAAACAGAGTAATTCCGGCAAAAAGGAATGGTTGGCAGGTCTGAAGCATACTAGTGGTAAAGTTATACCCTTTTTGTGAAAACTTTGAATTTGATGCCAATTTTTTTGTTATTGTGGTATTATCAGCATTTCATTTTTTGTGAGAATATTTTTCTCTTCCACTATGTATGTTTTAAACTTAGTTTTCTATTGAATTTGTGATCAAATCAACATTTCAGGGCAGTTATTTGATGTGCGGTATGTAAAAAAAATCAAAACAATATCAATAAATTTTTAAAAAACATAATTTGGAGGGGAAAAAAAAGAGTAATTCCGGCAAAAAACGGAATGGTTGGCAGGTCTGAAGCATACACTAGTGGTAAAGTTATACCCTTTTTGTGAAAACTTTGAATTTGATGCCAATTTGAAGATCAGACTTACATGATGACTGCATAGAAGTTATATTTGACCATCAGAACAGCCGTCGAAATAAAGCTTGCAAGGCACATTACTCCCATGGTCACGAGCCCTACGATGGGGACCCTATACAGGATCAGAGAAAACAAGTACGATGGTCGAAAGGTTTCTAACTCTCAAGACAATAATAGTATCAACATTAATGATACTTGTCATGATAAAATTCATTAACATACTTTAAAGATTATTCAGCTGAAACTTATATATGATTTGATATGGTTTATTGATATTTATATATGGTTTGATGTTTTTCCATCAAAACTTAAAAGTTACAGTAGCTAGATATGTTGATGTCTCATCCGTGGATGCTTTCCCATGATCTTTTAGTGTAACTTTCAGAATGTTGAGAAAGGAACTCAAAATCAAGGCTATCAGTAGTATCCATCAGTATGTGTAGTTAACTGCACCACAATCTTATTGAGGTTTATAATACCGAGCATAGAGCTGTCTCTTGGGTCCTCAAATATTTACAAATTGCACATGAGAATCTAGATCCTTTCAAGATCTGTATTCGTAAGCACTATCAAGTTACTTTTAATTTTTAGCACTCCTAAAATTATCAAGAGGTTAAATCTCTATGCCCCACTACTTTATGTATAATGGATACATACATGTAGATCAAAAATTTGTGATATTTGAGAATACTACTTTTTAATACCTCAATAAGTTGTACATACCAGTGTTTTTTTAATTACCCCATCAAAATATTTGCACCCTGCCTCTACCAGCTTAAGTATATTGGTAAGAAAATTATGATATCATTAATGTTTAATACAAATTATTAATAAATGTGCTTGCAATTTTTATCTTCTTTTCGTAGGTCCATACGATATACCATTTCATGTTATTCACAATTATCATTCATAGAAATTATTATTTTTAATGGATAACTTATGTTGCTTGTTATTTTTCCACGATTGTACATTAATAGACTCGGTATGTTCTGATGCATGATTGTTTTTAATAAATTCTGTCTGATCATAAGATCATAATATTGATATCATTTTGTGATGTTCATTGGGGGTGTCTACTCACCTGTAAAGCATAATCAATAAGAAAGGGCTTATCACAAAGAACTGCATGTCGTTAGCGAGGTACCACACCCATCCAATGCACTGAAAGTTGGAATACACAACACCGACTATTAGCGATGACGATTTACTGAGCATGTATCCAACAATGAGCAAGATATAGTATAAAACATGCTCCGGTGATAATTCTTGCTACCACATATATATAGCAATCTACATTCCCCGTAATGCATTCCACCTTAAATACCGCAGCGATTTAGCAGACACACTAATTCCAGTGATTCTAAAACACGTATTCTGCTATACTAAGATATACTAAAAATTCATTATCTGCAATCTTTAATCTTGCTTGATAGTTACAAATGTTGAAAAATATAAAATCCCAGAAAAATTTGCTAGTAAAAATAGAGTGGCACTTACGTTGGCGTGTTTTCAGTTATATGCGGTACAGAGAATTACCGAGATGTTCATTTTTAACATCTATCCAAATTCCAAACTTCAACCCTAGACAATATCTAATCCATACGCCACAGTGCAACCCAAGCACTAACCCTTTACAGTGGACGAAGCCAAGTTTGGAGCAAATGTCATCGATGAAAATGATGCAACACCGAACAAGAAATCTAATTTTCTTCAAGAGAAAAAGTTATATATAAATCGGATGACAATGTCTGCCAAAACAGTTCTTTCACTGTTCACTGTTCATTTTATCTACATCGCTCACTCCATCCAGGTTTAAGCGATTACTCGGCAGGAAGTTAAAGTCAGGGAGGTTTAAAGTTAACCCATGGTTTAAACCCTCATTTACATCACCCATGGTTTGAAATTAGTGCAAATTAAGCACACATTGCCTTGCACGCGTCAAATATTGGACCTCTGACTGTGTCGCACTTATTTTTAGGCTGATTTTAGACCATGGGTTAATATGTAAATGAAGATTTAAACCATGGGTTATATTTAAACCGTCTTTGTGAATTCGGGCCAATTTGATTAGATTAGCATTCATGTGCTCTCCTGTCATAAGGCAACTGGCTGGAATTCTTCTCAATGGAGTGGGCAGTGTGTACTGCACAGTACAGAATCGTAAATGAATCCAGTGCTTTGGTCTTTTACCTTGTAAAGCACTTTAGAAGAAGAAAAAGTAATTATCACTAGAATTTTTATCAGTCTTTCTTACTAGTCCTGAATCTGGAACAAAATTATTGATGTAGAGAATATTGGCCCACCAGTACTTCTCACAAGATGGGTTAGAAGCCTCGACCTGCCATATAGGACCGCTTCCAATGTAGGGCTGGAGGTAGAGAGCAATCAGCATTGTCATACCCAGTGCTGGCGTGAGCCTGGTGAGAAAATAAACAAGCGGATCATAATTTATGAAAAATTAAAGGTACAGACCAGTTCTGGTCATGCGATTGAATTGTGAAAGAAACGTTTAGGAATCGATCAGAAAAAGTTTTAGATTTCAAGTTTTCAGAGAGCTGGGATGTCTCGGACAGACACTAAAATAGCATACCGATATAGGTAATTGATATTATTGTAATCTAAGACTTATAAGCTTATGTTGATATTCAATTTATCTCTTTTTTTTTTTTTTTTTTTGTCTGACACATTTTTTTTCATGACGTATGCATATTGTGTTTCACATATCTGTATCTCAACACTCTGCTAATATTTTCTTTGCCTCGCGTTTGGCACACATGGGCTTTGAACAAAACAACAGGTACCAACTCTCGCTGCTGCATATAACAATATATATTCCCACAATGCATTGGCCTCTGATACCTCAGCGATTTTGCAGACAAGCTAACTTCCGGTGATTCTAAAATACATATTCTGCTCTCCTACGATATACTAATAATTCCTTATCTGCTATTCTCAATCTTGCTCGATAGTAACAAATTTTGAAAATTTCAGACGCAGTATGCATATTTTTTAATTGAAAGTTATTTACCAGCAATTGCCAGTGCCAGCAAAAATTGGCACGCTACAACGCAAGGGGCTTCTTTTCCCAAGCCATGATTGTGTGCTATTGTCAATAATCTAAAGAGTTTCTTATCATACAGTCGAAACACAAGAACACATGCCGAATGATGTTTGAAAATTTGAAATATTAAAGTTTCTTGCAATGAAAATTTTAAAAAAGTTTCACGTTGTAAAATTTCCTGGTTTAACAGTACACCAAGGTCCCACTCTACATGTATGTACACTCCCCATCTAGCCAATTTAAATGACTGCCACACAAAGAAGCAGGTTACTACTTCTACTTCATTTACCTCCAATATCTATGGAAATAGAACCAGAGCCATGGAAGCTTTCCGTTGGTCTTCACCATCCTTCCAAGAGCCATATACGCCACCAACAACCCACTGTGTGATACAAATTAAAGTTACAATGTATATTAAAACCCCACTGCACAACTTAGAGCTACTTGCGCCCTCTATAAAGCAAACAATGCCTAATCGGTTCCTGTTAATTGGTCCCCCATGATCCCCTTTTTCTTATGTTAATTGAGAGATGATTTGATGAGATAACCACCTGTCAGTGACCGTATAATAACTTCAAATGTTCCTTACATATTTTCATTTACAAATAAGCATTCATATACATACATTGGAGAGCTGCAAAATATTTTTTTTCTCAGAAGAATGTTGATAATTCCATTAAAGGGATAGTTGAGTTCTGTTGCAGAGGGCGCTACACAAAATAATTTTTTGTGAGAGTGTCAAATTTGAAAGAACATACAATTTAAATGACAAAATCATCTTTGTTTGATCAAAATTGGTTCAGAGACGGCTGAAATATCTATAAATATAATGATTTCTAATACATGTACTTGTGTACCACCACAAATATTAGATAATTTGAAAAAGCCGTTGAAAAAACAAAATAGCGCCTTTTACGTTTTACATCGTATTTCAGCATTTTCGTGTTGGTTAAATTACGCACAACCAGCCGGCCCATATTGTACTGTTATTTTTAATTAAAATAATGAATTAACGGTCACCATATTTTTTGAATGAGGAGCTGAATTGGTATGATCGTTATGGCTTAATTTTACACATTTTGGGGTCTAAAATTACCTTCATAGCAATTTTAGGTTCTAAAAGGGCACTAGATATGTCATAGATAAGAATAAGAGCAATAACCATGCACTTTGAAGGCATTTGAGGTCTGGAAATAGAACTCAACTACCTAGATAGAGTGAGTAATGATTTCATTGATAGATCTACCCTGTATGCTAGGAGCTTACCTGAGAAAGAAGAAAGAGTCAACAGAGAAGAAAGCGTTGGAGACAGCTTGGAAGCCAAAACGGGCGATGAATCCATAGCTGTGAAGTGGGTTACCTGCATGATAGTACACAAACAAGATACAGAATGAGACAGAAAATAATAATAATAATAATAGTCACATTTTGAACAGCCCTTAATACTACATTTCTAAGCCCTTTATACATTGCAATCATTATTATTGGATTAAATTGCAAATCCACACATGGCAGTGCACAAGCCTTTGATGTTTCAATGAGAAACCATTTTCAAGGGAAACAAGAAAAATGTGGTCTTTGTAGACAGGTGGTCGTGAAGGTTTGACTTTTAATTACGAAGTTCTTTACTGCTGCTCATTTTCATATCTTGGTCAAATTTAATTTGTTTCCATAATTATGGCATGGAACTTACAAGTTGATATTTGGCGTTACAATCAATCAGTGGACTTAAGCCAGGCTTCTTAACATACCGTAAATCTCTGTGTATAAGGCAAAAAAATTTCCCGTCGGCAAAAATCAAAAGTCGGGGATGCGCCTTATACAGAGGTAGAGGATATTTTGAGTCCTCAAAATGCTACTTTTTAGTGGTTTTCGAAAATATCTGTGTCTCAACATGAATTACATAATGCAAATAAAGAATAGGATCTACTATTTGAAGTTAAACTACATTCCTAATTTGAAGGGAAGAGAGTTTTTTTTTTGTTTTTTTTCAGTCTCGATAAATTATGCCCCTTCACACAGCACTTTGCCAGCCGAAGCTCTCCTGTGTCCTCCGCTCACTCACCTGTATGATGCAGCTCACTTACACAGGGATAATGAATCACCACTTGAAAACTAGCCTGTCCAAATTTCTGTTTGGACTCGGAGGAAATTTGTTTGTTGGCTTGTTTGTGTGGCTTTGGGGGCTTTTTGGGCTTTTTGTTAACCAGATCAGATCGCCTCTCGTTTCAGTGTTCAAAAATACTTTCATTTTATTCCGAGGCACAGTTGAAGTGTTTGTGAACTAAGTTAGACCTAGTAATAATGTCGTTTTCAAAACTAAAGATGACAGATTTTTCTTTTTTTCCAGAATTTTTTTTCCCTGATTTTTTTATTTTTTTTATTTTTTTTTTTTTTTTTGTCTTGAAAATAGGGGTGTGCCTTATACACAGAGATTTACGGAGGCCAATTTTAAGAACATGGGCAATTGTATTTACAAACAGCTTAAATTTCTTTTATCTCACAATGTTTTTAAGCAACAACCTTCACACAAAGGCCACAGACTATTTTCCAATGATTTGGCCTTTTCCACCAGTTTGACTTAATAACCTTCAAAAACCTTTCAATTGTGTTCTATAAATCAATTACAAGGTGTCAAATGTATTCAGTTTTCACGAGAATGAAGGTATTGACACATCTATTGAAACAAATTTAGAGCCTTATGAAAAAATTGAGATATCCCTTACCTACAATTCCACTTCCAATCATAAAGGATGACACGTGACCTAGGATGACCCAGGTCATACTGATGACTCGAATACCGTTCAGGCATGTTATACTGCCCTCTGGTGTCTTAGCCCCAAGCAGCTTGGCCAAGTTGCGGTTGACGGCAAAGGAAAGCACAATCTGATGCCAGAATTTGGTACATGCTGATGAAATGGATGGATAAAAATGATATTATTGGTTAATTAAACGTGGACCGATCACCCATGAAAGTGTGAATAATAGTGGATATAAAATCAAGTCCATTAATCATTACCTCGCATTCTATGGGTTAACACATAGAGAGTATAAAGAAACTAAACAACAGCATAAACACCCAATACGCCTAGAACCCAAGTAAAACTCGGGTCCCACGTACATCGACCAATGCACATCTACCCATGCACTTCCATAGCATTTAAACTTGCAATTTCTATTTACAGAAGTACTATTTGAAGCTGATAATCTAATACAGTATACCAGCATGGTACCAACAATTTTCAGAGCAAATTATTATTTGGTGACAGGTCCCCTTCTAAAATTTGAGTTATTAAATCTTTATAAAAGTTGTTATATTAATAATAACATAGAATAAAGGTGGATATATGTTTGCCTAACAAATTAATAATAGTAACAAGAGTTATGCTACCGGACAGTTTTAACAAATGAGAGTAAAACAATCACTCAAGAGATACAACTGATAGGACAATATGAGAAAGTAAGGGCTGACTTCATCTTAGACACATATTTCTTTTCAAGAATGCAGAAGTGAAAGAGACAATATCAGCGTTGCCAATTTGAAGAGGAAGACCAGGGGGTGTTTCACAAAGCCTTTTTTCAATGACAAATGACAAAAATCAGTGACAAATCTGCTGATAACCAATCAGAAGCAAGGATTTCAGTAGCTTATAACAAAGACTGTCATTTGTCACTGATGACAAGTTTTGTGAAATGCCCCCCAGATTCTTCAGCACCTTAGAATTTCATTATCCTTGATGGTTCCCTGACATCAATGAAACATTTACCTGTGGGTACCGCCTCCTCCAGCTCTCGCTCCTCCCCCTGGTGCTCTGATTCCACCTGTCCTTCTCTACCGGTATCTCTCACCCTTTGGTAGGGGTACGCATCCACCACTCTGATGGGTCCATTGATAGGAACCCCAGGGGTGGGGGCGGTGGCAGGTGGCTTGTAGTCAATAGAACGCAGTGTCTTGTCAAGGAAGGCACCCAACACCATCAGGCAGGCAATTAACCCAAGAAAGAACCTGACAAAAATTGAAGAACAGAAAGAAGTGAAAGTGTAAGATATTATTTAACACTACCAAGTATCTTTGGTTAAAGGTAAAGACCAGTATTGGAAACACCCCAATTTCAAAAAGGAAATGGAAGCTCTTATTAACAATCATGTGAAAGAATATGTTTTGACTAATACATGATGATAAAAATTTTGCCGGGAAACCGACTACTAATTGATATATTTGGTAAATTAGTTTATCTATTGGGCCTGTGTAAGATAAACGCACGTGTCGCGCACGTGTGTGTAGTCCCATATACATCTTTCTTTCTGTGTACAGTGCTTGTAACTTACGAAGACTGGGCCAAATTTCTTATCATTTTGATGATTCTAGAACCTTGCAGTACACACCAATACTTACATGCTAGATGATCAACCTTTTCTTATCAATTCCCCAACGTTTCTTTCACAATGCAATCGCATGAACATAACTGGTCTTTATCTTTAATCAACTATCCATATTGTTTATAATCATCTATCAGACATGCTTGTGATGTCAGAGTTTTTCTTATTTGTGGTTTATCTTGGTTATGCTGGTGATAAATAGATGTAAGGGCATCAACTCATAATGTCACAGAGTTAATGCCCTTTTGGCTCTAAACTATGGCTCTATATTTTTATTGTTAACCGATTATTGTTGCTGTGCAAATATTTGAAAATGATGGACATAAAATATTGAAGTTTTAAGGCAAACTTTTTCCATTTGGCAAAATTAAAAAACAGACTTTATATATTCTTGAATACATATTGCTCTCAACCTATCCTTTGACTTAGAAAAAAAAACTACAAATGAACCCTACACCATTATACATACGTATATCAAAGTATATACTAGGACTGTAGATATTAGGACTGTACTCACAGAGTGACAATGAATCCCGTACTGTTATATGGAACAGGAGGGTCTTGGGCACAGACTACTGACGACGCATTCACAGCCGATAAATTGAAAGGAGCTTCGACTAATTCTGTTTAGAAGAGATGTCACAATGAAAGAAAATAATAAAAATATCCCTTTCAAGTTAATTGCATTCAATAAAGCAATCTGACAAATTTGAATTTGTCAGATTCTGTTTGAGAATTATTATTCCGGAATATGACGTTGAAAATATGATTGGATAAAGTTTCAATGAAATTGACAAAATATTCTTAAATTACGCTTTTCTACACTTAGAAATCAATATGAACCTGCCAAAGATAAATCACGCTAGTTATGGTGGTACATTATGCTGGCATCACTGCATGATGCCAGCTGTATTCCTACTACCTCTTTTTCCCCATTTTGTTTGCTTCTTTAAAGCGATTACAGGCAATGTGTCCTGTACAATGTATGTCTTTTTTCCAAATATTTTATCCAAAAATGAAGAATCTCCTGACATATCAAGAGATTTTTTCATTCACACATTTTCATGTGTGAATGTTTGTTGAATAACGTACATGTATGGGACACATATTGCACGTAATCGTCCTTTACAGCTTTGATATTAAATTTAACAAAATGGACGTGCATGCAACATTAGTATTCTTACCTAACAGGTCTTGCAGAGAGAAGAGTATATCAGAGTCTGAGCATGATTCTGGTACACACAGTCCCCACATTAGCTTTAAAGGCAAAGCCCCCGGCGAAGCCTAAATAACAAAAACAAAATAATACAGTCTAATCTGCCTTAGCAACCACCTGTTTATAAAGATCACACTTTTTGTATCCACTGAAAATGCTTTCTCATTGAAACATGTATTTCAGGAACTTGTACATAGAGGTGTGCTTTATACTATAAAGAACACTATTCTTGTCTACCTTAAATCCAACGGCACACTACACGATCCGTTTATGATATGATTTTGAAAGAATTTGCAACTGCATTTAAAACCAACATTTAAACATGTAAATTCTTAATGACCGAGGATCAAAATAGTCACATGAATTTCAAGGATTTCATGAGTTCTTGAAAGAAGAAAAGCTAAAATCTGCTCAGAATCATATCGATGTCAGAACAGAAGTGTTGACGATTTGACTATTATTCTGACTAGAAGAGTTAAATGTACCAGTACTAAAATTTTATATCATTATTTAGAACCTAAAAAATACTTATATCATTATTTAGAAGCTAAGTCAGGAAAAGAATGTTTGCTTAGATTTCTTATCTAACAAAATTGCCATTCTTTGAAAATCGCAGGAAGATTGTAAAGTGTGCACTAGTCTTATGTAATCTTTATACTGAATACAGGTTTCACTATACAGTAACATTATATCAACCAGGTTTTAACCCTTTACTTGCTTTCGTTGCCTAATGGAGCACACACTGTTAGGTACGGCAAGCAATAATGTTTGACCTATCTAGCAGCAATTAATGTATGCAATTATCTTCTATGAAATTCATGAAATGTAAATCTCACAGCTTAGCACCAAAGGAGTCATAGTCATATACATAAGTACTTTGTTTGATCAATCATCTTACATAAGGTTCCATGAGATTGACCAACTTGGTCATGTGTTTGATGCATGCAATGAAAGACCAGAGGACAACAGGGGTCAAATTCCATTCTCTAGACCCATAATAATGTGCATTGTGCAAGTAATTAAAACAAAATTATGTCACCGTCCCATGCCTATTTATGATCCAAATTGAACTTTGATCTGACATGGATTTCTGTTTTTCCTCTGTGTACATAAACCAGTACAAAAACCTTCAAGGTAGTATTCCTTGAAGGTATTTGTACTGGTCTAAACTAAACAACCCTACACACACAGGTAGCCTAGGTTTTACAAAAATTTGAAGATTGGCACTAAAGAGAAGTCCACTGTCTATACACTCTGCTATTGAAGTGGCCTTCGGTCTACAAAGGAGCAAAACAGAGAACTTTGCGGAAAGTCTGATAAAAAATAAGAAACTTTAATGTTGCGATTGATCAAACCCAAATTGGCAACTGTTAATTACCATTGGTCGACCAGCATCTCTCCATTTATTTTGTACTAAATATTTCATGAATTTTAGCTTGTCTCCAAACATAATATATTTGAATACCTGTGCCCCAGATCCATATTTATTATTGGATACATGTTTCACATAACCCTTCAATGACGCATTGTACAGTTCTATGTGAAGATGCACATACAGCCCTTCACCACTAGCTAAAGAGAGAGACATTCTTGTTAATTCCAAGTAAAAATCAAAAGGAGAGCTACTTGATAGAAAAAAGTAAAATTGGTGATCTAGGCCCTGGTGATTTCAATTTTGAAACTTCACAACTCAAATGATATTTATATAAGATTTTCCTAGAACTTATAGAAATATATATTTCTCAATTTTTTCTTCATCCACTTAAGTATATTTGAGGCCACAGTTTTCTGTTTACTTCACTTTAAGATCTGTATCTATATTTTATCTGACAGTTGCCCTCAAACGCAATTTAAATATAGGAACTTAAAATTATCACGTTCGGTCAATGAATATTGAGAGCAAATATAAAAGTTTGATGTTAAATTAATTAAAAAATAACTACTGTACATAACAAAATAAAGAAACCAAGAAATCAAATAGAATAGATAAATAAATAAATAAGTAAATAAATAAACAAGTAAACAAATTTAATTACTCAATGAATAAATAAACAAATAAATTAATTAATAAACAAATAAATAAATAAATAAATAAATCAATCAATCAAATTAATAAATAAATAAACAAATTTGTAAAGAGACAAATCTGTGTAAATAAAATAAATATTAATATGTATAAAAACTTCTACTTACACCATATGCGTTGGGAGCATTGCTAGAATTGGCAGGCAGCTGCAGCTGTAGGTATGTTAGGCAGTAGTTGAAACCAGTAACACTCTTGCATTCATCAAAATGTCCCAGCCAGGCTAGATTACCATGCAAAATCCAGGCTGAGGTTTACCAATGGCATCCAGAACTACATGAAAACAAGGATAAAAGAACATACAGTTATAGGGACACTGATTTTCCGTTTAAAAAAATGGCCTTTTCCGTTTCAGAAAATCTTGAATTCCGTTTCAGATGGGCTGAAAAACGGAAATTCCGTTTTGCCATAGACTTTGTACACATGAAAAAACTAAAATTCCGTTTACATAAGATTTTCATTAAAACATGAACTTGTAGGGTACAAAAGTTCTATTAAAGCCGCCACCTTTGACAAGCCACTGATAACCACTCAAAACATACGGACGGGACTGGATAAACTTGATGCAAAATACTAGTGAAAATATAGACCCCTACGGGCCCTAGAATCTAGGCTAGACCTACGAAAAATTATCAAATGTTTAGATTTACCAACTTCAAATTCGAACTTAGACTAGCAGACTAAAGTCAGCGGAATGTATCAGAACACGACATATTCTTGACGGAAATGCTGAGTAGTACCGACGTCAACGAACATATTCAGTCTTGGCTGTCATGTCCGCGATCGATCGATTTTAGGCGCACATGCCAGCCCCTTTTTCGAACTGTACAACAGCGTGTGTACAATCTTGCCGCACGTAGCGCCCGCTACTGGCGTGTGTGTGCCTAGTATTACGTCTACGTAATACTAGGCGCCTAGCTGGCATAATCGGATCGTTTCGCTGCTATTTGTACCGTGTTTTACGTCATGATCTCTATTGGTCCAGCGAAACAAAATGGCAGCGCCCGGTCTCCTAAGAATCTGACGAATATCGCTAAATATTCGGAATTATTAACCATGATTTGAGGCCCAATATTTTTTCACTGCATAACGAGTCACAAAAATAGTGTAAGATTTACTATTTTCTTCTTGAAAATTGAAAAGTTTTGGGGTAAAAGGGGTTTTCCGCGATTTTCCGTTCGAAATTGCATTTTCCGTTTCAAATGGTCAATTCCGTGAATTCCGTCCGTTTTCCGTGATCGCGGAAAATCAGTGTCCCTACAGTTAGTATCCTGGAAAGAATAGTTCATGTCTGTTTTGTTTGTTGCAAGTGAAACGATATTATAATTATTATTGTTATAAATTACTAAGTATTAGTCACCTGTGCCTGGGACTCAGGCGAAAAAGCAAACCGAATCACTGTGTTAAACCTTCACGTTTCTTTAACCCAGTAAAATTGATTGGAATGTGCAGGTTGAGGGAAACCTTATTCTTTTTCGAAGGGGTTTATGCATGAAGAGGTGTCATGGTTTAGTGAATCACATGGTTTGAGGTTCAAGTCCTGCTGTGGCACTAATATCCTTTGGCAAAATATTTATCTACGATTGATGCTCTCAACCCAGGTGTAGTAAATGGGTACCTGTAGGAAGAAATTCCTTGAATGCTTGTGCGCCATACATGTATCACTGCATGTAGCCATGCTAAAGCCAGGGTAATTATGATTGCAGGGCCCTCGATCAGTAGTATTACTGATATTAATGGCCCACTGCACTACTTATAGCTACTTGCGCCCTCTTTATAGCAAACAATGCCTAATCAATGACCGTTGGTCCCCCATGATCCTTTTTTTCTTATGTTATTTGAGAGCTGATTTGATGAGATAACCACCTTGGTCACCGATTAGGCATTGTTTTCTATATAGAGGGAGCAAGTAGCTACAAGTAGTACAGTAGGGCTTTAATACTGATGAGGCTAACCTTGGTAAACAAGACATATTCCTATCATTATTTATATTATTGTTATTATTATCATCATTGTTCTTCTTATTATTATCATTATTATCATTATTATTATTATCATTATTATTAATTCTTATTACTGCTACTAATACTGCTAGCATTACTATTATTATTATTATTATTATTATGTAACCATGTTTTAGCTACGAGAATAACTAATTGCAGACCTGATACAAGTTGACCCGTCTCTGTTGCTACCAGTTCAGCCAGATCAGCTTCACATTTTGAAGAGACTTGACCGGCCTGGACCTGAGGTCTTAGAGGAGGCCGCCCAGCAGTAGCCATCCTTCCAATCATATCAGGGGTCATCAGCCCAGAGGTCGTACGAATACAGAATGAGGTCAGGAAGAAAAGGGCCTGCACTGCCAATTTGATGCTCATATTCTGGGTGCGATGGTGGCTCCGTGTTGAAATCAATTTGTCCATCCTGTATGTTTAACCTGCAAAAAGCTGAATAAACATGCACAAGATAACATAAAGAGAATTTTATTTTTATCATGGTCTACATTTTCAAGGGAATATTTTTTGTCTTCTCTCGATCATGTTGAATGCATGTACAGATTTAAGATTTAAGATGATTTCAGGGGCTTACCTCAACCCCCCCCCCCCCCTTTCATGCTAGTATACTACCACACTAGCTGCCAAAGCAACAAAAAAAATTTGGAGGGGTAAATAATTGTCACATTTATTATAATTTAAAGGGGGTGATTTGAGACACTTATTGCTGCTTGTTGCAAATTTTGTGTACAAAAGTGACCACTGCACTGGTGACAGCTTTATTTTTGTTAGTGTTACGTAATTGTTAGGTCTTTATAATAAAAGGACTTAATTAGGCAGGGCTGTCAACCCTCCCGCATTTGGAGGGAGTCTCCAAACGCTCATTCTCCCGCTGTCCCACCAGCTCGTAGCGGGAGACTCCTGCCACTATGCCCTTTCTACCACTCTCTCGCAATCTCCCGGTTTATGAAAAAACCTCCCGTCAAACGTATGCATTTTTTTTTGCTCAATGGAGCTACAGTAGGACAGTAGGTAGTGAGCGCTTCAAATAAAAAATAAAAAATCTCAACACCCCCCCCCCCCCCCCCCCCCCCCCCCCCCGTTGACCAAACAAACATTGCCTAAGATCTCCCTCGAAGTAGTTCCCCAAAGTTGACAGCGCTGAATTAGGTGTATTTAGAAAACTACATGGGGTATGGACTATGTTGCGTGTTAACTAGTAATCCCACATAATTCCCTTTTTTAATTAAACTACTAAAAAGCAGTATCCCTCCAGACAAGAAAACACTTAATAAATGATCACATCCAGACAAATTGATTATGGTTAAAAACTGGTTCTATATTCTATAATTTCACATAAGATACAATGATTACAGAATTATCAGAAACCTCTTCTGTCTATCTCAACAGTGACAGACAATTAAACTATCACTAGGCCCTTGGTAGTTACTATTAATAATCAAACATAGATAACTTCCAACAGCACATTAATGTAAAGGAGACTCAACTTAGTCACTATGGTATTAATGATTACCGCTGAATACAAGTCTCGAAATATCAGGAGTCTAGCTGTTCAGTACAACTTAAAACAGTACTAAAACAAGTCAGTTAAATATCATTCCCACTGCATGAATAATAACAGTCAAGAAAATACTACTCAAACCTAAGCTAGACAGCGTTTAGATTTACTTACATAGGCACGAAATATTGTGGTTCAAGAAACCGCTAAACAAATCTCTACTTGTGTATGTGTACGGAATGCACAACACGAGAATACCACAATATATCGGTGGATCTAGACTATAGCAGATCTAGATCAGTAGACCAGGCATAGGCCTAGAACTAGTGCAATTATAAACATGTAAAATATGTGTCAGTAAGCGTACGCACTCAACAACAGGCACTCAGTCAGTCAAAATAAGGCCTCACAATGATAAACAATGCAAAGCATAAATCACAATATAATTAACGTTACGTGAGTCATTGGAGTTGAATTCAAAGTAGATCTTCTTCAAGTTCTAGGTAGATGTAGAAACTAGCTAGTCGAAAACAGTGGTCGACGAGCTGGTTGTCGATCGCGTAGGATATGCAGACGATGATCGACGCTAGGTGAATACCACGATGATGAAGACAACGATGATGACAACAATGATGAAGACGACGCTGGTGAAGACAGCGATGATGAAGTCGACGATGAAGACGACGCTGGTGAAGACAGCGATGATGAAGACAACGGTGATGAAGACAACGATGATGAATCAGTTAACAGATGAATACAATGATGATGCAGTCAATGTCAATAGATCAACTTCAGTGACTTGCGATGCAGGTCGAAGAATCAAATGTCGAGACAATATAGGTCTATATGAAGTCGATGATAAAAGGTTGTCAAACAATAATGCAGGTGAGAAAAACGTTAGATCATATTAAATGTTCTATTCTCACTGCTGGTGAATTAAAGTGTCGTCAATGTTGAACATCGAGAGAGTCAAAATATATCTTGCAAAACGTACAAGATGTAAATAGGTGAGCACGTCCACCGGGAATGGTCCGGGGACGTAGCAGTTCAATCCTCGTTGGATACAATTTTCTAGGTACAAATATCAACACAATAACAGCATGTGTGTATACCAATATTAAAACAGCTCACTGATTCCCGCACAGGAAAATCAGAAGAGCGCCAATCAACTACAGCGCGATTGGTTCAAAACAAGCGCACATGTATGTTAATAAGGCACGTGATCTAAATACTTATGAATAAATACGCGTACATCTATGTTAATTGGTCATGTGATGAAAATACTAATGAATAAACATCGTTATATAATAAATCGAGTTAAAACCAGTTCTGAGGACATGGCGTAATACCAAATCCTCGAACTCTCAATGACTTCTTAAGCGGCCATTTTGGATTAAAAACACAATATGTATACCAGTGAATTATAAATGAATGCACTGTAACATTTGTCGCTACATTAACCCCCCTACTAGACCCGAGCTTGCGTAAGCTCCGAGGGGCGAAAATACACACTTAAAAATAGAAAGGAAACATATGTACAAAATACATTAATATACATGAAAATAACCACTATTTATGCGACACGTTCAATGTAGTGAACCTGAACGTACCTCTGCGGCCAGTGGACGTGGCGGCCTGAACGTGTGACACGCGCAGCAGGTTGCGATTTCACCAGAGCAGGAGCAGGCGTAGGAGCAGGTGCAGGAGCAGGCGCAGAGGTTGCGCGAAGTGCTGTGCGCAGAGGGGAGGAGACGGTAGGCTCTCCCTCTAGAGGCACGTCAGCCGCGGTAGTCCTAGCCGAAACGCTTTCCAAAAATGCGGGTTTCAGTCGATCAATGCTTACAGAAACATGCTTGCCCTTTTGCTCAATAACGAAAAACTTCGGGTTTCGTTTGAGAACCTTGAACGGACCCAAATACGGAGGCTGTAATGGCTTACGGACAGCATCGATACGCAAGAAAATATGCGTACAAGTATCGAGAGACCTATGTACAAAACTGGTCTGTGGTGACCTACGTGTCGCTGTAGGCGCTAAAGCAGACATATGGTCCTTCAAGCGTTGGACGTAGTCCGCGGGGTCAACAGTATCGTGTCGCGTAGGCACTATCAGCTGGCCTGGAAGACGCAACGCCGTCCCGTAGACTAGTTCGGCAGCGGAAGCTCCGATGTCTTCCTTAATAGCTGCGCGGATACCCAACATGACCAAAGGAAGGTATTCTTGCCAACGGTTCGGCTCGGGTTGAGATTTGAGAGAGGCTTTAAGTTGCCGATGGAACCGTTCCACCATACCGTTGGCCTGCGGGTGGTAGGCCGTGGTGGCTATGGTCCGACAACCTAGCAAATTAGCTAATGCAGTGAAAAGCGCAGATTGAAACTGACGACCTCGATCATGCGTAATCGTGGCTGGAGCTCCAAAGCGAGCTACCCAGTTCTCCACTAGAGCTATGGCTACTGTCTCGGCAGTGGCATCCGCTATCGGGATCGCTTCGGGCCAACGGGTGAACCTGTCGATACAAGTCAGCAGATAAATGTGCCCTTTCGAGGGCGGTAGTGGCCCAACAAGATCAATATGAACGTGTGCAAAACGGGCATCGGGGTTGGCAAAAGTGCCAAGCGGTGAGTGTGTATGACGTTGGATTTTTGCGCGCTGACATGGGATGCAAGTACGCGCCCATGCACAAATGTCCTTGTTCATACCCCGCCACACAAAACGGGCCGCGATAAGCTTTTGCGAAGCTTTAATGCCCGGATGCGCGAGATTGTGCAGATTGTCAAACAACGATCGCCGGTGCGCTACCGATACATACGGCCGCGGATGCCCTGTGGACATGTCGCACCAAATGTGCGCGTCCCCTTCCGGAAGGAGGACCTTCTCAAATTTGAGCGAGGTTGACGTGTCTGAGCGCAGAGCAGCGAGCTCAACGTCATCGACTTGGTCGGTCGCGACTACACGCAGGTTAATCGAGTTCGGTAATTGCACTGAGTCAATCTCGGTGCGAGAAAGTGCATCAGCTACCTGATTATCAACGCCTCGAATATGGCGTATGTCGGAGGTAAACTGTGACACGTAATCGAGTTGCCGCGCTTCCCTAGGGGAATGTCGATCGGGCGATGTCTTGAGTGCGAAGGTAAGAGGCTTGTGGTCTGTAAAAACAAAAAATCACGCCCCTCTAAGAAGTATCGGAAATGGCGTATTCCGAGGTAAATGGCTAGCAGCTCTCGACCAAAGGTACTATACCTAGTCTCGGGAGGCTTGAGGCGGCGAGAAAAGAACGCAAGCGGTCGCCACTCCCCTTCATGGAGTTGCTGTAACACACCACCTACGGCGAGATCGGAAGCGTCTACCGCGAGGCTTGTAGGTAGCTCAACAGACGGGTATGTAAGCATCGTGACGTTCGCGAGGTCCTCTTTGACAGCCGCGAAAGCAGAGTCGCACACAGGGGACCAATCTAACGCCTTTCGAGAGCGCTTAGGTTGCTTGCGCAGCAAATCAGTCAAGGCGGCCAGCGAGGATGCGCACTTAGGCATAAATCGGCGGTAAAAATTAACCATGCTAAGAACCGGCGCAGCTGGCGTAGCGAGGTAGGGCGCGGAAATTTGCGAATTACCGCGACCTTGTCATCCATCGGGGAGACGCCCTGGGCAGTCACATGGTGCCCTAGAAAGTCTAGTGCTTCGACTCCAAACTGGCATTTGTCAGGATGCACTACTACTCCATAATCACGGAGGCTTGTGAACAGCTGGCGCAAATGAGTCTCGTGCTGTTCGGGATTCTCGCTGGCAACAAGAATATCATCAAGATACACGAATACAAATGGCAGGTCACGGACGACCCTATCAATAAACCTTTGAAAGGTTTGCGCCGCGTTGCGTAGTCCGAATGGCATGCGTCGGAAATGGAATAACCCAAAAGGGGTTGTCAGCGCGGTCTTCT